TGCTGTCAAAACTCAAGTTTATTTAATGGCAAGAGATTGTACAACAGCTATCCTGTGATATTTATAGGGAAAATGGGCTCCATTATTTTAAATAGCTTTCTGAAATATTTAGTGATTTTTTTTTTTTTTTTTTGTCTCTCACTGTAAGTTTCATTTTTCTGTTTGTTTTGTTGTGCATGTGTGAGTAATGCCATTATTATCAGTAAGACTATCAACACTGTGGGAGCAAAAAAGGTGAAGAAAGGGCCACCCATCTCTAGTTTTTCATATAGTCTTCCCTTAAATCTGTGGAGATGGAATGAAAACTAACTGCTAGAAAGCATGATCTGAGGGTACTTGAAACAAATCTGTTGGACCAAGAGTATCAGGGTCATGAGGTACCTAAGTGTGGTGTTAGGGAAAGTCAATGCTATGACAAATGAGCCTCCAAAATTGCTTTAAAATTGTGAAGGGGACCACAGCACCAGTAGATCCCAATGCACAGCATGAAATCAACCATATCCCCATTTCAGGATTTTCACTAAATTACTAAATACAGGATTAGGAAAAAAAAGGTCATGGACCACAGGAACACATAGTGATCCTAAGGGCTGCTGATACAAGTACAAAAATATACAGAACCAGATTTTTCCTGTTAATTTCTATTCCAGCCAAAGAAGCCGCACCAATTTACAGCAGGTGAAATAGGAGCAAGCTGATGTAGTTACCTCTCACAAACAGTTCTGTGGAGCATTTCTCATCACCAGCTGTTACGTGATAACGAGCATCGTCTGTCATCATACAATTATTGATGAATAAAATTCGCTGGTTACCTTTGTGCTCAAAAATGTATCTGTTTGAACAGGAATGCAGCAAAGATACATTAGCAGAAATACTGGACCCCTTCTGTTTTACATAGAAAGTGCTTTAGGGATTATTAGAGGCAAAAATCCTGTTTTTCACATAGAAGTGGAAAAATGGTCCTGAGAAAAAATTTCCAAGATTCAACAGAACTGTCATAGACTTTTTAACAAAAAGAGCTATGGTGTAGAATGACAATGAGCGTGTTCTGGCTTGTTCCAAAATTCCAGGCTTGGGTGATATGAAAAAATAAAAAAAAAAAAATGAGGAGGCTTTGAAGAATGGCAAATAAAATGGAGTCTGAAACTAAATAAGTAAAGATGAAAATAACCAGTAACAGGACACCATCCCCATTCCAACACTCTTAACATTTTTGTCCAGTATAATAATAGCCGAAGTTAAGTTAATTTTATTGGTCGGCCAGATGGTGCAAGAGATCAGTGATGGGACATGGGGTTTTGGTTATGGGATATGGAGCCTTTCACCTTTATGTCACTGGTTTAGATCTGCTCCAGGTTTGTCATGAGCAAAGCTCCTTAGCATCTGACAGCTGCTTCAGCAGCCTGGAAGAAATGTGCTGGAGCATCAATCCAGGTCCTTCTACTGGAAAGTTATCCATATAGCTGCCTACGAAACAGTTCTGAACTGCTCATGGCAGATATAGAGGCTAAAGAAAAGATACTATTTTTTATTTTTTAATTTTTTTTGTCAACTGTGAGTATTGACTTTTGAAGCAACAGAATGAAGGAAATCTGTCCCTTCTCTGTAAGAGGGCTTTTGCTAATTACTTTTTTTCCACAAGGCCAGAGGAAAAAGTTGCTGGGGGTTTGTGCTTCTGATAAACATTTAAGGAACATTACCTTGTTGTGCATTCCTGGTTGCACGTCATCGTTTCTAGCTGTGTCTGACTGTGGAATGGGATTTTCTGCACCAGGTTGTAAGAGCTGGTTGTGCTGACACTGGGGACTGGATTCAATTTCCAGCCTTTGCTCTACCTGTAATTGAGTGTCTGCATCTGAAAAGCCACTTCTTCTAGATAAAGCCAGAGAGTAAACCAATGTGCAGGTGATGCAGATGATGAAGCAGCTTGTGTACACTAGACCTGTTGCACATGACTCAAGTCACTTTGAGCTAATGCAGGTTGTTGACTTCAGTGTGAGCATTAACTAGGTAGTGGTACGTGAGACAAACCTTGCCCCCCTTTCCTCAGGCAGTTTATGAGCCAGGTGGGTAAGTATGTGATGTTAAACATCTCTCCTTTTATCACACGATTACTGTAGAATGCTTCTGACCTCCTTCAGACACAGGACCGAGGACAAGCACTCACAGTGCTTCCTTATTTTTTAAAAACTACCAAGTAGTAGGAAATGGTTCCATCTTTTGTTGGGGATTTTTAATTCTTTTATCTTGAGACAAAGGAGCCAACCTACATTAACATTTAGCAAACAGTGGAATTTTTTTGAGTCATGAACAATATAGCATCATGTGCATACTTTTGACGTATAACGAAATTCAGAAATAAAATTGGTGCAACCTGAGCAAAGAGCTAGATCTATGCAACACACTTGTCAAGGAAGTACATGTGTACCCATTTTATTGCTTACATACAATAAAGCCACTTACTTTGCACTTGGTCGTATTTCTTGGCCATTTTTATACCACTTGAGTTCCACTGTTGGATCTGCTAGCTCCACCACGAACCTTACTTTACCTCCTTTGTCCACCTGATATGCAGGATCAAGACCTTTGGCAAAAGCTGTTGTGGAAGCCAAGTGTTATTATAAAAGAAGATCAGAAAACAGGAATATGAATGCTGAAATGACATTGCATAAATCTTGTCAAAGCTGTCAGAATACATGCACAAAATGTTATGCATCACACGGTATTCTTAGGCTATCCACATTAATTATTTTTTTTCTAAAAACATTAGGATAAGTGCAAAGCTGTGCAGATCTGATTATCCTAATCAAGTTCAAGCTAGTGTATCTTCATAACTTTGTGACTGTATTCTGAATGGTATTGGGTAGATATAGCTTTGACATCTTGCTGAGAAGTGCTATAACAGAATGGAATATTATACAGCTGGTGCCATGGAATTATTTACAATGAAACTGTTACACAGGAATTCTTCATTAGCAACACCACACAAGTTAAAAGAGAATTTCAAGCTAAAATTCCTATTGAGCTTCCTACTATGAGAATAAACACGTTGGTTTGTCTAAAAGCCAAATTAGCTTTCCTGATTCTTTCTGTAGGTTGCAAGGTGCACATTGCAGTTCCACTTGTGGTAAATGTTACAGCTGCAAAACATTCGCAAAAACATTTGAGACCAGGCAAAAGTTGTCAGTCTATGAATTCTAATGGGGTTTTTAAAAAATGTGAGATAATGAGGAGAAAACATGGTATATGAGGCAACTGGATTTGCTGAGGATTTCACCTACACGAAAGGAACTCCTCCAGGAAACCAGTGGAACAGCAGATGTATACATTGCATCCAGTTCTGAAATGCTCTCCAGGCACAAGCAAGTGCCACAATAGTATAATGGATAGTTTGTTGTATTTGTATGTGTGCTTGTGTGTGTATATGTGTTATGCAACATATTTATATATATATTTTATATACACATATATATATACACATACATATAAACACTTATTTATCTTTATGTACACATTACACCACTCATACTATTTAGTAGGGTAGATGGGAGAGTGAATGTCTTCACCCAGGGCGGAGTGAAGGGTTTTTAGTACAGGTGGCATCTCAGAGGAATGTCAGATTAAGCACAAAATTAAATTATGAAATGCAAACAATGTGTTTTGAGTGACTCTGTTTCAGAGCAGAAGATATTAATGATAACACAAGGTCTAATTTCCATACTGTTTGATCAGGTAACACCTTTCCATGCAACTGGGGGACTTTGTTCCAGTTGGAACTATGGTTTGGCCAAGAGACTGGAACGCTTGTGGCAAGTACTGAATGAGATGGGGTGTTTACACTAACCACAGTGGACCAAAGCCACCTTCTGATTATCTCCTTTCAGTAATAAGGCTTGAGTTGTAACATGCAAGTCCCCTTACATGGAAATGAAGCAAGCTTGGGTTTTTAAGGTGGACGCTCATGTTTGACTACTGAACATAAGAATATTCTGCCTTATCCATACCTGCACTCTTCTTCACTTCCCTGCGCATGCGCTTCAGACGCTTTAACATGCCTCTCAGGTCAGTGATACCATACTGAAAAGCAATCTTCTCATATTCACTGGGATTTGCGTTCTTCAGGAGCTCCCACACATCTACCTCAGGTTCTTCCTCTTGCTGTTTAACCTCCCTGACCGTAGCAAAATAAAATTATGGGAGAAGAGTTAGTGAGGCTTTATCACACCACGAAAAAAGGTGGAGCTGATTCTATGGTGAGGTTAGAAATGTTTTGATCAAAATTTAAAGTCTGCCATCATATTTTTTTATTTCACTCAGTATGAGTCGAATAGCTCAGAATGACATTCACACCTTAAGTTCCACTTCTTCAAGGTAGAATTTGGATATAAATTGTAATTTGACCTTTTCTGATGTAATCAGTTATGAGAATTTTTATATTGCTTTATTATGAAAAAAATACAGTTTAAAATGTAGAACTATAATAGCATATGTGCTAATCCTACTTAAATGTTTTATCTGTTGTAACTTGAGTGGAATCAGTTACAATCTATGATGGCACCACAGAAATCTGAGTCGAATCCATACATTTCATAATTACATTAAAAAGTTTTCAAACCCTGAGTCCCTGTAACTGCTACTAGGGGTGACCAATGAAATGACATAGAATGGAATCTGGGTCTGTTTATAGTTACACCAGTGTTTCTCAGAGTTACTCAGAGTTGGCATATGGATAGGAACTGGAGATTTCCACAACAGCTTGGACTTGCAAGATGAATCTGTTGGCTTCTATGTTTATTTCAGTCTTAAGAGCAGGAAGTGTTTTCAGAGGCCTGTGTGAATAGCATCACCTTTATTCAGAAGCTTCAATACCGTATTTACTATCTGCAACTCTGGGCTAAGACAACCAATAAAGAGAAGTATAATTATTTTCACAATGGCAGCCATTAAATGAGAGAATAATGGAAGTGTCTTCAACAAAATTATAATTTTTGAGGTTGACAGCTTAGCTCAAAAAAGCAAACCGCTAGAGCAATCCAGGAGCTGGAACAGAAATCTAGACATTTTTTCCCATAAATTCATTAGGATCAGACCAGGATGATTCTGATTTGATCTGTTTGGAAATCAGTACTTTTGAGAACAAAGCAAGAAAATAAACAGTTGAGACTGAGCTTTGGAGTGAGACACTGTTAGAGCTGAGCTCTATCAAATCTGACAGAGAATTTTCTTTAACATATACAGAAATAGCACTGGGGGTCACTGGAAATTTTTGCATGGTTGGATGAGGAACTATGGAAAACCACTTTGCTGTTTAATCCATGAGGTTTATTAATTTTCATAATATGCTAGTGTTATTTTAAAAAAGGAAAAAAGCTTCTCACTAAGGAGTCTTTGAAATACTTACATTGTTATTTTGGTCTTATTGTTAGACAATCTCAGGTATGTAATTTTGATTAATTCCTTTTACTTTTATCTGTGCTCATGCTTTCTGGAGGGTAACTATGTACAGTGAACACTGGTGTTTTAGTGAGATTCCTTCTGCATGGTGGCAAGTCAAGATCAGCTTGCAAACATATGTAAAAGCTGACACACCCCACGGGGTAGTATTCTCCTCTCCCAGGGCTGGCTGCTTGCCCTGCAATGCCTGTCCCTGCTAATGAGAGGTACACTCCATGGGAATCGAGATAATGTACCCCTTTAAACTGAGCAGTAGTTGAGAATGAGGATCAATTAGAGTATCCTGATTTTCAACCAGCTTGAAATAACTAATTCCAGACTCTTTTTTTTTTTCCTCTTGTGTGACTGAAGAACAGATTTAGACACTTAAAGCAAACCAACTTTGTTCTGAGACCACAATAGTTTCTGCTGTGGGTAGTGGCAGACAGCGCTTGCTATTTCCTAAGTAGACTGGCCACTCCACAAAATCTCTTTCAGATCTTTTCTCCAAAAAATGTGCATTTTGTTGAAAGATGTACTTTTTAAAAAAAGGACCTAAATGTTTGAATGTTTTTGAGATCTTGTGCCTTTTGGAATTTCGTGCTGTCACCGATTCATTGCATTGATGAAGCATAACCAGTCACAGAGTGTCTTACTGAGATGAAAACTGGTTTGTCTTCCTGCAAGACCAACACGAAATTAGAAAATAGGCAATATATAGATTCTATGCATTTAGGTTTTTTTTAAAAAACATGTTTCAAGTATTATGCACCACAGGTGAAAAGTTCTAGCTCTTTCTTTGGTAATATAACCATAAAAAAGAGAAGGAATGCACCTGTAAGATTGCCTCTTGAAAAAATCAAAATTAAAAAAAAATTGTCTTCATAAAAATGCATATTAATACCCATACTGGGGCTTAATTAGCAATCTTATTCAATTAAGCTCAGAAGTATGAGGTTGTATTTCAGTGCCTGAAGCAAGGAGGTGATGAACTGATTTGACCAATATCAAATAATGGTGTTTAAACACTGAAGGTTTGCTTTGTCCATTAACCACATGATAAGTATAGTATTTTTATATGGCTATACAGTATTTAATTTACAAAACATGAGTTACTTGTTAGTGAAGTAATAATGACTCTTAAATCACGTTTCTCTTTCCACAAAAACACCAACACCTCTTACATGCAGCTCTCATGTTGCTAATAAAATGTCCCACAGGCAGTCATGACAATGGTCATAAGTTGTATTAGTATGATAAAAAGTCAAACTGAAGATCCTACTTAGGGATGAGAAGACTGAAAAACCAAAGACCTGGTGGATTTGAATTGGTTCAGGTAATTCTTTCTCTGTGTACTTTTACCTTCAGAATTTCCTGTTTGCTTTAGTTGCTTAAATACTATTTTGACCACCATACCCCATGAGGCCATTGTAAAGTTTTTATGTAATTAATACTGCATATTGGGTATTCCTCTTTCAGAGTAATTGATAGATGAGATAAAGGATCTAGTTACTTTTCCAACACTCTGTGGTCCATTGCCATTGGTTTCCATGGCATACAGAATTTTTGTGACAAATTAAAAAAAAATTACAAATTCTATCTTGTCTTAATTATTAAAAGACTAAACTGGGTTTAAGATCTGAAATAGCAAAAAGCATAACTATTATAGCACCAGATTTTCAAGGCAAACCAGAGGAACACATGTCCAGGTTTTTCTCCATCACAGCATTTAAGTTGAATAAAACACCACTGAACATTTGCGTGCACATATTGAAACAAAAAGCTAAAAAAGAATTTATGCCAATGTCTGTGGTTTTAAAGCATGATAGATTATTTTTTATATCAGGATGTTGATAAAATCAAATTGATATGTACCCAAAGAGATATCTTTAACCCTTGCAGTTTTTAAATCTTGCATCAGACTCAATTTTCTGAACTGCTCATCCCTGTGTAGGAAATCATCCCCCTGTACCCTTCATGCAAACACAAAAGAAATAGCAAGCAAACTAAATGTTATTGGCCTCTTTAAGTTGTGGCTCACTTTTTTCCCAGTGCACTCAAATCTGAGTTTTATTTTCTGCACATTTAAAGGTACAATTAACTGAATATTTGCATATTATACTATGAGAATAATAGTTAGAAACATTGAAAAAAAAATGAAAGATCTTAAGAAGTTATTAATGCTACACCTGACTCTTTCTGTGTGCGAACCTAATGGTTTGCAATCCACACCTGCTCACTGCATCACTTGGTTCTCACCTACGTTTCAGGAGACCACTAAAGTCAAGTTCTCCTGCATCGTCTTGTCCATCACCGCTGTTATTAATAGAAAAAGATCAAATCTTTGTTTAATACAGGAAAACTTAGACAACACACATTGCAAACGCTCTTACATGTCTCATATACTCAACACTGTCCGGACACACAAATAATGGTATAAAATCAACACAAACTTGTATTCTTTTTCACATGAATTATGTTTCCTTAGGCACTTGTGAAAAATAACACAAAGGTTTGTATTGCTTGTTATTATACTTTGATGACAAATTTTTGTAACTGCATACATAAATTTGCCAAGATTTGTGTTAGATTTCAGTAACACAAATAAATGTGAGCTAGTCAACACAACCAGCTTTGTTTTCATTTCCATAGTGTATGTGTATAAAAACAAAGGGCTTGTGCTGATCTTTTGCTGTGAATGTAAAACAAAGATTTGCATTGCTGGGTGGTGCTTTTAAAAATGCACAGCTGTGTCAAATACTGATTGCAAAGCATTACACTTAAAATTTAACCTTTCTCATAATGAGGGGAGAAATCACTTTAAAAAAGAAGAAACAGTACATTGTACATTTTTACAGGTAGCATCATAGCCCTGTGAAGGTGCATATTGTTCTATAATGTGACCTTAAGCAGTAATATCTTACTATAAAGCACATACAGACAAAAGAAATGTCCTTAATATTTGTAAAAAGGATAAAATCTTGCAAATGTTAAGTCAAATGATGCCAATATTTCATCCTAGATTTTGCATGTAAGGAATCAGAAAATATTCAGATATCCTTATGTGCTTGGGCAGAAAAGTTATTGCAGGGGGGTTTGGGGTTTTAGTTTTTTTAAAAAATGTGCTCAAGAAAGGAGTGCACATTGAATGCACTATCTTTTGCATTTACTCTTTAAATCAAATCCCTCTAAATAAAAAGTTACTTCTGAATCACAACTTTGCTTATATGTGTAAGTTAACAAACTGCATTCATTTTCTGTTTGGAAAACATTTTCATTCTGAACATTTCTGTCCTTGTGCGACAACTTTCTCCACAAAATATAAAGATGACATCTGTAGTGGTTTGAATTGCTACTTTATCACAAAGGTGACAAAAACTTGACACAATGCTTTATCCTACATCCTCTGCAATATACTATTTGTAGTTTTTCAGTGATAACGGCCTTATGGCACACTTTTTTACTGTGTGGTAACATAAAGCCAGATGCTATCTTCTTGAAATCAGTGTGAATTTTCTCTCTGCTTTTCATCAAAACAGGATTGAGACCAGGAACTTTCATATTGTAGCTGGCAACTTTCAGGAAGCATGCTATAGAATGTTTCGGTGAATGAAAATATGATTTTAAAAACATCTAAAGAAATATAAACTTAATTGCCTTAAATATTCCATCTTCTCTTAAAGCAATGACACTATATTTCACAGTAAATTATTTAATATGTACTATGTGTTGTAACGATTTCATTCTACTCACTCCCAACTACTCTAAACCACATATCTTTAATCTTTATTTACAAAAACTTTTTTTTTAAAGTACTTGATACAATTGTATCCCAAGATTGATATAAGTTCTGTGTGTGCTACCAGCATCCATTACTGAGGAGCTTCATAGGATCACTATTTGAAGTTACCTTCTTTTGAAAGCAGATCTGATGTCAATGGATGGAGCAGCTTGGGAAGATTCTATGAAATAACAGTAATACAGGAATTAAAAAGATAAATTTAAATTAATGTAATTTCTGTAATCAGTGTAATTTGGCATATGAAATTTGTTCCATTTCCTGCTAAGTGACCACAGTTTGTGCTGCTCCTTTGGCATTAAGTTCTGATAAATGCAAAGCTGCTTAGTGATCACCTAAGTTTAATTAATGCATTTCTCTAAACTACTTTCTGCAGTTCTGCATAGGAGATCTGTCACTGTGATGTTTCTCCCCGATCCTCTTCCTACCTATACACAGGCTCTGGCCTTTTTTTCTTCCCATTCCCTTTGCTTTCTCTCCTGCTTGCACCCTGCACGTTTTTAGTACTCTGAGCATCAGGGGAAAGAGGCAGTATTCTCTACAACTACAAACTCATGTTGATTCTCATTTGATCTTGATGAATCCTCCTTGTGTGTTACCCCTTCTGCCAGCCTGAATTGAATTAAATGGTTCTGATCCACAGCCAGTGAATGGGTACAGCCAGGCTGGCCCCTGCCTCGCTGACCTCTGAGCACACACTCCTACCTGTGCCCTTCGAGCTGTCAGTCAGACATCAATTGACCCCTTAACTGTGACTGGCTTCCCCTGACTGGTGAATGAACAGACCAGTCTAGGCCATTCAGTAGGCATGCTTTATGAGGGTCAACAACTATTTTGTCCACTGGCTGCTGTCCCTGGCTTTTCAGAAAATATTAATCATCTTCAGCCTATCATACAGGTATATGTGCTCTGGCAGAACTGCTCTCAAAGAAGATTGGCCTGTAGGTTAACATTTGCCAGAGTAAGGCCTTTTATAACACAGAAGCAGACAAAGCCACAACTCTCCAGTGCTCTCCACATTGTGTTATTCTTTATTTAGATGAAGAGAAGAAGAAGCAGCTTTCTGGAGTATGATCCTACCATGCCTGATCAGGGTGCAAAATGCTGGTGAGCCATGACCACTCCATGTCCCTCTGCTCAGATGATGCCAGATGAAACCTCGCTCTCAGAGTTGCCCTAAGCCTAGCTCTCTGTCTTGTGTGCCACAGTCTGATTGGAATTCAATACTAGTTTTATTTGCCAGCTTTTCTAATTTTTGGGTAAATGTCTCACATGCTATCTATCCCAATGTTCATTTAAACAATAAATTGCAGACAATTAAGAAAATTATCTGAGCTCTGATGCTAAAAATATTCACTTTAAGCACTACTTCATTTAAAGGTTCTGAACAAAATTAGGTGGCATTCCAGGTTAAAAAAAAGAGAAATCTTTATAAAGCTTTACAGACACAAGTGAAATCTTACCAGTGACTTCAAGGTCAAAAGAGCAACTATCAAATTTGTCCTTATAAGATACTTCACAGCGATAGTTCCCTGCATAGTTTTCCTTAGCTTGAATGATATGCATTTCAAATGTGTGAATCTGAAAACCAAACGTAATTTGTCCATTAATGTAGGGGATACATTTGCACAAAGCAGAAGTTAAAAGATCGGTCTTTCAGACCTAAACCAGGAGCAAGAAGTAACATGAATAAAGTGCTCTGGAAAGAAACTGGAACCTAGAAATGGCAACAGAAAACTCATTTCCCCACCACTAGTTGTCCCGTGCTGGGAGAGCAGAAAAGTCTGCTTCTGTGCAGGGTCAGAGATCATCACTGAAATCCGCATGGGGAAATCCATGGTTAGAATCCCCTGCTCTTGAATTTCTACCTGTTGTCTTAAACTGATATTTAAGCTCTCTTTTGGGCTTTGTCCCCATAAGAAAGAAAAACAAAGACACACCTTTGTGTGACGCTCAAAGGATTCTTTCAGCTGCAGATGCTTCCCTGCTTTACTGGCCAGGTCCATCCATTTTCCTTTAAACCATTTAACATTAGGCTTTCGGAGAAGATCTTTGGCTTCTACTTTTGCTATAAATGTAATATTCCCACCTTTTAAAAAGAGAAAAGAATAATACAGTCATTGAGGAACATGTGATGGGTCTGTCATGTCTGTACAAGTTTCTTCCACTTCTGCTCCTTCCAGTCTCCACGTGCTAGCTCTACCGTGACAGTAACAGTCAGATGGAATCACACAAGCTATGAAAGTACTGCAGTGTTATAGAGATAAATGATTTTGGGTCTGGAAGCCTTCTGCCCATGTCAATGTGGAGCTTAAGACACTGAGAAGCAGCAAAGGTGAGGCAAAACTCCCATGTTGTCATGGGTTAATTGTTCCAAATATTTGAATGTCTCTACTTAAAACAAGCACAAGTGTTCGTAGGCTAACAAGCAGTTGAAACATTAATAAACTCCAGTCTGGAAAATAAACCTGGAGCTCCTCATGCATTTCTGTCATTAATTCTTCAAGCTGAGAAGGAATGGGATTAGAGTCTTCTCTAAATAATGGTTTGGGAATAGTAAAAGTTAGCTCAATTTTCAGAACATCACTGCCCAGCCTCTGCTGAGTTTCCATTCTAACATTCATGGGCTCCAGAGGAGAATACAGCTAATTCCTTATATTTATTTTCCAAACTGATCCTTCCAAAATGCTTTTTCTACCAAGAAAATGAAAAAAATAACAAACATGTATAAACCACCCCCCCAATCTGACCACATCTTAGTATATCTAAGTACACAACAGACATATTAAGTAACCTGTACTGACTGCACTCCTCACCATTGCTGCTACCCTGCTTATGGTGCAGCTACCTTACCGTGATAGTATGACTCAGGGGTGCAGTTTGGAAGTGAACCTCCTAACCATCCCCATTTACTGTGTTCTGGTTCACAATGCAGAAAGTCCTCATGGTGCTTGAACTGGATTCTTCTGGGAATTCAAATTAAAACCAAAGACATGCTCTGAGAGCTTACTATCTGTGCTCCAGCTGCTGCTAAGTATACAGACACTGGTTTAAACCAGAGCTAGTCCAGAGCAACCCCCCCCCCGCCCAGAATGGTTACGGTGACTGTGACCCTACCAGCTTCCCTACAGAGCTGCTCCAATTAGTCTACTCGCTAATTTATACACAGTTGTAGGGTATAAAAGTTGACCTAACAATCTCTAAGCTATGCTGCAGGCCTTTGGGTAGATTTTTCCTATGTCAATAGCAGTACAGCCAACAGCATCACAGTAACCAGCTGTCTTCTCCAGAAATTACACCTCATACCCATTTGGTCAGTAAACTATTAGATTTTGAGCTTGTCTTGAATTAAACAATTAGGTTTTGCTTCTCTCTGTACAGTCCTTTTTGCCTTTGAAGAGTGGAGTTCACATCCAACTAAAATCAATGGAATTATTTGCAGCTGGAGGAAGAAGCTGAATGTCACAGGAACTGCACACACCTTTCCTGGCTCTGCCTCAGTCTCTTTTCTCTCTGGGAGTGGCTTTTCATTTTGCTTTTAAGCCCTTAACAACTTTTTTTTGCTCTGAGGTTTTTCGACAAATAAAGTGGATCTTTGGGAGTCATCGCGTTTTTCTGTCTCTTCTGGAGCTCCTTCTCCAATAGACCATACTGAGATGCAGAGAGAGAGGCAAATGTCAATCATCTGAGTATGTTTTACTCCCTCCAAAATACACTTACCTGAACTTACTAAACTCTCTAACCCTATTACCTCTCTCTTCAGATGTCCTGAAAGATATGTAAGTTTTTGTTCACACTGATATCCGTTGCTTGACTGTCACATTGTGTACAGTTCCTGCAAGAACGCTACCTCTGTGGTGACAGAAAATGAAACTATCAGGGGCGAAGAGAGGGAAACCTGATCAGCCAAGATGGGTACTGAGCAACTCGAATGGCACCAGCATTCAACCATGAGTGCTTTACAGAGGCAATGCACAAAGGTCAGCTCTTTGTTTTTCAGATGAGATGGAGATTCTGAAAACACAAACAGCTATGAGCACAAACAAAACACATATGATGCATAATTTTGGTGGGTCTCTCTCAAGCCCAAACTCAGTCAATTGTACAAGCTAATTTTTCCTCTTTGATGGCAAAATAGGGCAGGGATAAAGCTTACTTCTGAACTTTCTTCTCTTCTACCATGATAGAAGCAGAAAGTTCGGGGATCAGTCCAAGAAAAACAGTTTGTCAGATTAAAAGGATTGTGTTGTATGTTCAGATACAACACCTTCTCTCCTGGAAAATGGGATTTTGGAACTGAAAAGGAACAACGATACTGAGAGTAGCAGTGAGTGAGTGGTCTCCCCAGGCAGAGAACTGTACCAGCACAGCTGTGCATTTCTAGTCTTTCTGTTCATCTGAGCATCCCTGGCTTTGTGCTATGCAGTTATATCTCAGGTAAATACATGCAAAACCATGGTCAAAGCTGAACCCTAATAGAAAAGGCAGGCAGAGCAAGGCAGTGAACATCTGTCCGTTACCTGCTCCCTTTCTGCAGAGACGCAAAGCATGTGTCTCATATTTCAAGTGAAAACCTGGGGAGTCCAAATGCCACATCTCCTTTTTTTTAGCAGTTATCACCAGTACATAGGGGAAACCGAGTGAAGCCCGTGCTGCCACGGTAGTACCGAAGGGCAGAGCAAATGTGGAAATGTACAGCTATAATTAAAGAAGACATCTGTCTCCCTCAAATCAGAGCTGCATCTCCCTTGTTCCCCTTGAACTTCTAGTTGTTTCGGAAGAGAAGGTAGCTTTTAATAGTTTATCCAATGCTCCTTCGGTTTTGGTTTCATAACTAATCACACAACACTTCTCACTTAGTCAAATCTTTCTTGAAATGAAAAGTTCCTTTCTCTGCCCAGTATTTTCTGTAGAAACTAATTTGCCAGAAATCAGAATTATATTTCTACTATGTAGAGATTACTGTTATGGGAACCTTTTTAACTCCTTAAAAATTCCATTGCTCATGAATGCAACACAAGTCATGATAACCATGGGAAAATGCAACCAAACTGTTTTTATTATCCTAAAGTCTATTAGGAATTTTAAAAAGGTATAGAAATGTTAGACAGCTTTGCTATAAAATCTTTGCCTTTCAGTCTTTGAGTGAATTATGGGTGGTGTGCCTAACACCTCTGTATATGTCTGCTTGTACAACACTTCTTACAGGTAAAGACATTCATGTATATACACACATGTATATACAGATATATGAAAACATATACACAGACATACATGGACACAAATATATATAGATACGCATCTATATATACTCTCTCTATAATCTAGAAATTTAGATTATGCCAGTATAACGTGCTAGTATATGGAAACAATGTAAGAAGGAGTGATAGTTACTGATGTGAATGGAATGATGTGACAATGCTCGGTACAGGATCTGGTCACGTGCAGTAACAAACCTAACACGCCACAGGGTGAAATGGAAAAAGGATATTAATAAATGGAAGAAACTTACACAGAGTCATTAATTCAGTACCACATAAAATAACACCTAAATATTATAATCACCTTTAGATATTAACATTTTCCTATTTATTAAGCAAACAGAACAAAACATGGGTTTGACATGACGTTGGCTCGGGGGGCTGGCATAGGTGGCTATGCCAGGTCAATAACCATGGTTGAAGTACCTGCTGCTCATTTCATTCCAGAGGCTGCAAATCCTGAAACCACAAAAGTGTGTGTAGTATGCATTTACCTGCCAGGGTAGGAAGAAAGAGGTTATGACTTTGCTAAGTTTTTCCTACTGTCCTTTGAGCTGTGAGAAGAAGCCATTCTCCTACAGTGTCCTGGGGCCTGTGTGTGGGATTCAGGTAAGCCACTGTCATCCTGTAGGCTGAGGAGGGAAGGAATAGCTGCATATCTATCTATATAGAAATAGATATAGATAGATAGGTATGTATGTATGTGTAAAATACTGATATATGTCCTGTGTTGTGCAGCAGAGCCTACTCTCATTGCTAGTTTAGCTGCTAGAAACCTAGTTGATCTGATACTTAAAGGCATTTCAACAGTTACAGTTTGAGACTGTATAAACAATGAAATAAAATTAAATATTATCTTTAAGAAAAAAGTATTAATAATATTTGTATTATGTAAATTTTGGAGTGTTTCATCGTGTTTTTCAGGAGGTCTCACCTGAATCTTTTCTTTCCGCTGGCTTAGACATCCCATCTGAAAGGTAAGAGCAATTTAGATGACACCAGCTCAGAGATCACAGCTTAACTGACCTCAGATCATTGGGATTTTAAGAACATTGATTCTTCATGCAAGAAGATAGGACTAGATATTTAGGACCATACCCATGGTACTTGAATATCAGAAAAAGGAGGTGAACAACTGAGAAAAAAAATCATGGCTTTCCCCCTTTTCTGTAGAAAAACTAAATTAGTTTAGTTTAATTCCCATTCACTATTTCCCTTTTAGTAGTTCATATTTAGAAGGATTCTGTGAAGCTGATATTTTCTTCATGATTTGTGTAGTTCCAGATAATAGGTGCATTTATGTTGTTCAGTATTTATCTGAGGGGACAGTACTTTGAATTATTTAGTCTATTTATTTATCTGAGTTGAGAAAAATAACAATAAGTAGTTAAAGTTAAATTTTAGGGGTTCATGATTTATAATGCTATTTATATAGTTAGCTTTTACTACAGAGATCCTCTAGTACTGTAAATCAATGTACTGCTACTGACTTTACAGGGAGCATCCAGCCCAAAGTTAATAATGCAAATTCTTTTGGGAGAAATCAAGAAAATGGGGTCATTTAGAGCAGTGAAGATAATTAAGAACGTGTTTTTCATTTGACACACTGCAAAAGGTTTTCTAGTGTTCAAAATCTCCGTTTCATTCACAGTTGATTTTTATAAAATATATTAAACAAACAATGGAGAAATTTTGCCTATGTCACGTCTATCATGATTGACCCCTGTGCTATTGCTTTTTCTCTTACTGCCAACAACCAAAGGCATTATATCTGCCAGCTTGGCAGCAATGAATTTCAAACTACCTTGTAGGTCATATGGCCCAAGGTGAGGTGACAGACAATTATGTGGATAAACCTGTTTTGAAGTCATGAAGCATCTGTTTTATTTGTAATTCTGGAATTTTCTCTCAAGACTAACCTTAAAAATATACTCTGTTTTTTGATAGGAAAAGATAAGGGGAGTTGCTTTCAGAGCTGCTAACCGATATATTACCTTCCAATGGCAGAATTTCTACCAAAGACTTCAAGATGGGACTGAAGAGGAACTTATCTGGTATGAAGGTCTTGTACTTCTGAACAGAGATTAATTTAATGTAGGACACTTCAAAAAACTTTTTCTCTAATTAGTATGTTTTGAGTTCAGTCCAATGGTTTGGACTCTTCATTAATAGTAAAAAAAAAATTACATACATACATACACACACAAAGCACTATCACAGTCCTAACCTGCTGGTGGAGTACTAACTGAAGTGTCATCTTCATCTGTAAAAAGAAATACAAATAAAAAAGTACATAAAGAAACTGAAAGCACAGATGATCATCTGCTTTAAAACAACTATGTGAGAATTTAAAACCTGCAAAAGAAAGGGGAAGAAATAATAATAATAGTCAGGAGCATTCACAATGGAAGCTTCAAACTGATGGAGAAAGCTTTGCATAATTCAGTAGCTGAAATGGTAAACCTTAATGTTTCAAGCAAGTAAAAGAAAAATGAGATGTGGACTGTGATCATTATTAAATCATGAGTTTATATGAAAGCTGCTGAGTGGTTCTGTTTGTTAGAGATGTAATCCACAGGTAAATACAAAAAAGCCACAAAGAAATCAAGGTCAATCACATATCTAACCTGAGGAAGATGCCATTTCTCTGATGTCCGTGTCTGCAATTAAAATGTGCACCATATATGCATTCAGCATCATTAAATCAAGATATGCAACAGTTAAAAGTAGTTCCCTGTGTTTATACTTTGTAATTTCTGTATCAGAGTATTAATTTAAAATGCAAGGAATAAACTCATTTTTTTCCCATGTTATAGGAGAATAATTTAAAATAAGGACACAACTATTATAATCACACTGGATTTTCCTTTTAATCACACTAAACGTTGACCATCATCAGGTATTAAATTACTATAAGCAATTGTTATCCAGGTATTTTAAAATGTTTAATCTCAGAGAATACATTGAGGTATATATTTATATAATCAAAAGCCTGAAAAAGCATAAAACTGGCATTAAACCTGAAATACTGTAATCATGATTATTAGAAAAGCACAATAAGGTAAAGATTATCTTTACAAGAGTCTCTTACATGCATGTCTTCTCAAGAACAAATGTAATAACTATGACAAAACCACATATAAAACATAGTTGCATTTTTATAAATATCGAACATATTAATTTTTTATGTTTGCTTAACCAATGAAGGCTAATTGAAAGTCTGTTAATAGGATTTAACTACTTAGCTATGACATTTTACTCATTCCTTTTTAATAATTAAACTTATTTTTAAAAATCCCTTGGGAGGAGGATGTCAGTTGTTAAAGGTAGGCCTACACATGAAGGATTAATGTGTTATTTTAGAAAAACGATTTCTTATTAATAGCAAAGAAAAAAAAAATAGTAGAAGAGTTCTCACCACCTGCATCATCTAATGAGATAAGCAGACATTGAAAATGTTGATTTTCAGTGAAAGCACAGCAATGACAAAGTCATGTCAGATGTTTTATCATATTGCGCTAGCAACTAAATGAAAGAAAGGCTAAGTAATTCCCCTGCAAATCTTTCTCCATATTTTGTGAAAGTATAATGTGTACTTTCAGATCTTTTTGTCAATAATGTCACCATTGTGGTTGATGATGGCTTGAAGAGGTACAGAATATACTCTCTGGCCAGAAAAAAAATAATTAAGACCAACTAGCATAAAATATTTGATATGATGCACCTTACATGATGATGCAGATAATCATGCTATTAAAGGACTACACTATTTGCCTTCTATTTTCTTTAAACATTTGAAAAACTAAAACAACAAAAAGATTTTATTAGTTTTGCAGAGGGATTGCTGAGTTTTTTCCAGTGTAATTACCATTTTTCAAACAAAAAGTTAATATCAAACATAAACAAATAAAAGCAAACAAACATTTCAGAAGTATCAAAATGAAAGTGCTGTAAATGGAAAGAATACATGTTAACAGCATTGTTTTGACAAATAGGTAATTATCAATCCATCAATCATTATATCTCAGGCTTCTAGTATGAAATGAACTGACTATGGAAAAAATATGAAAAATGGTTCAACAGCTATAACCGATTTGCTTTCCGTGATAAACAATCATTTATTTGAGCAATAAATTATATTTTAAAATAACACAATCCCCAAAATACCAGACCTGGTGATAAAACTCTGATCATTCGTTCATTGATCTTATCTTCTGTAAGTAAAATTTTAAAGGAATATATTTAACAATCTGTTGTTTGACAAAAGCTAAGTATGAAGAAATCACTTCATTCATTTGGCAGTAGGTCAATAGCTGTATTACTCTATACAGACTTTTGTTCTCTGGCTTCTACTAATCTACACACATTGTCATTAACAAATACAATATTTATTTTTATTCTCTTATATCTCAACAATTACATTAAGGACCGGGCCTCTTGAAATCCCATCAGGAGTAGAGTCTTGTAGGAGGAAAGAACACTCCATATCTCAGAAGCAGCTGATGTAAAACTTTTTTATACTCCCAAAACTTTTTATACTCACAATCAGTGTAACCTCAAAATTAACATTTCTGACTGGTGACACAGCAAGAGTGTAGAAAAATCTGTCAAAATGTAAGTAGTAACTACTGTTTTATATATGAATTATCAAGAGTTTTAAACCTTCTACTTTCCCTTGATTTGAAATCTACCACACAAAACCAGAAGCTGCTATTCTGCCATCAGTCACCTTATTGATAAATTTAATGTTTGCAGAAGTGGCAAAATCGTAATAATCTATTGTTTTACTTTTGTCTTTTTTAGCTGTTTAAAACATGACTTGAAAACCATGTGCCAATATCAAAAGCCAGGTGCTGCAGAACTCAACAGGGGAATTTTGGAATTTACTCCACTGGCGCAGCATCTCAAACTTGATTCATTCAGCTAACAGAGCTGGCAAACTAGTTAATCTTTCTTTGTTGTTGTTCGCTGCTCTTACTCCCTGACAACCATAGCATGAGAGATACAGCAGGCGAACAGGGCAGAGACACTGTTTTGCAGCTGCAGGTGACTTTGAGTGCCCTAACATTCATGTACACTACTGCAGACTGGAGCAAGCGTTCAGGGCTACAGCAGGAGGAACGTAAACACCACAAAGTGTGAACCCTTGTCTTTATTGTGCATTAATAAATACAGAGCATTAATAAATAAATACAATAAACTTATCCAACTGGCTGAACTGGTTTATGCTGAAATTACTGAGCCCAGTTTAAGTCTTCTGAGACTAAGAGTTTAAAATTCAGTTGTCTTCAATTACCCATCTGATTTTCAAAGAGTATTCAGTAGTCCCATGAAGGGGACTTGGCACTTTGGAAACATAGAATCATGGAATGATTTGGGTTGGAAGGGACCTTTAAAGGTCATCTAGTCCAACCTTCCTGCAGTGAGCAGGGACATCTTCAACTAGATCAGGTGACTCACAGCCCTGGAAATGGTAATTGGAGTACATACATACAGCAATGGAAATTTTAGTAGGGAGGTGAATGGATAAGTGAAACATGGAGAAATGCAAAGATGAAATATGCAAACATTTTAGTAGATGGTTTGATGAAACCTAGAGAAAAAGATATATGTAAAGCATGCAGAAATTTTAATAACTCTCTGAATGGCTGGATGAGACCTAAAAAAGGAATGAGCAAATTGATATTAAAATTCAATTATCATTCCAGCAGGTGGGAACACAATTATAATATTCAATCTATAAGACAATGCTAAAATTAAAAACAAAAGCAGAAGAATTTAAATTGAATGAGCATGGGATAACATAGTAAAACTGGTGGGATTTCTTCTGAGTCACTTTTTTCTCTGAAAATAAAACTGATTATCATATATATCCTGAATTTTTTACTTTATTTCAAATATTTTTGAAGCTAAAAATGCTGTAAAAGATTATTCTATGCAAAAAAATTTTATTTTTACTGCTCTGAGCTACTGATTTATAGTGAAATAACCACAAGATAACAAAGAATTTATCACTTTGTTCTCCATTTCTTAACTTTACAGGGAACATAAAGGAACATAAATACATAATTTCACACAGACAGTAACTACTAAAAAGAAATAGAACAGTAAAACAGACACACAGATAGGTATGCTTTATCTTCCTAACTTCTGCTGTTAACTTTGTCTTAGAAATGAGGTGAAATTTATGGACCACCTGGTCTGCAATTATGAGTGAAAATTTCATTCCTAGGTGCCAGGTTCCAGCACAGCCTGACTGTGCTGCAGAGAGGGGCTTTCCCAGGTTCCTACAGTGTTGTCTTTCTTATAAATTATCAGCAAGGAGTTTACAACTGCTAACACACAGGTATTGTAGAGCCACTGTGGAATTCAGATATGAAAGCTTTCCTATCTCATTCCCATTTGGCAAAGTACCCAAATCTGTTACTTCTGAAACTACAGAAACAGTTTTATAAATAGCTTGTACAAGAGCTAACCCCTAGCTGGTTCTCTCCTCATTTCCTTGTTGAACTGCTCATTTTCTAGTGTAAATGATTTTGGACAGATTGGAAAAATGGAACCTTTTCCCATTTTGTGAATTATGCTCACCATTATAAAGATTTTCTTCTGGCAGGCAAACATGAAAGAATCACTCTAGGAAAATATACTTTCCCTTACTTGGTGATAGTCTTCAGCAAAATAGGAGCTTAAAGGAACGGTTTTACTAAACCTAATTAAAAAAAAATACTGCCAAGTGTCAGGTAACGATATCTACATTGCTTTGCAGAGGCAACAGTTTCAATGGAGTATGGCATAAAATCATTCTTTCTACATATTGGTATTGAGACTTTCACTGGAATTTTTACTGAGGCAGCTGCTGTCACCATGGACTGAAACTGGGAACACTTCCTATACTAGGATCTCAAACAATTTTTTTGGTAGCAAAATCCTCCTAGACAGGATAATCACCAAAAAAGCATTTTTCCTCTTAGGAAAAACATGTATTCTTCACTGAATTAAAAATAGAAACATAATAAAGTATAAAAAGATAACAGAACTATTTGATAAAATACCTACCATGTTTTCTTTTTTATTCAGTAAAACGTAGACTTGTAAGCAATGGGGAAAACACCATTCATGCTCAGTTTAGGAACAAATATTTCTCTCATATCAAAATTAAAGCAAGCAGAACTAAATGCTAGAATGGCTGGAGGCAAGACCTTCATATTTTTTCCTATTATTAGGCATGCAAATTATTCCTGGATGGTGTTTCCATCCCCAAGATGACAGATTTGATTACTCACAAGATTTTTTTTGTGTCAAAATAATTGCTCAATGCAAAGATAGCTGGCAAAATAACATGCACCGAATCCTGGTTCAGCATTTTTATTTTCAAATGGGTACTTGAATCACACATGCTCAGTGTTTATATTTTGACTTTGCTGAGAAAAATAGCCATGCATCCCTTTGCCAAATAAATCTGCAAGTATCAGGTAGGCATCCAGTCTGTCTAAAACACGTCTTTGTCTAGAGGAGACCAAAAGCCACAATACTTTTTGAAGCAAGCCAGTTCTTGATTTGTAGTGAAAAAACATAACCATGCCAAATGAAAAGCAAGCATTCCATCAGTTGTAAGTATATTTTGGTCTGACTTAGCCTTTTTTCAGAATGAAGAAAAAAATTGTTTATTAATTTCAAAATAA